GCTTGTAGGTCAGCGTATGGTCCAGCATGTGTGACAACATGTTCTGCCAATTGCCCGACTTGGGTTTGCGCTTGATAATCAGCCATGGAAGAGACTGTTGGCACTTAGAGTCTAGCGTCTTTTGCTTCAAGACATTAGGCTTTGGTTTTCCTAGGTTTTGTTGTTTAGTAATCCTTTCTTCTTTCAGTGAGATAAGCAACAATGTCTTTTGCTTCGAGACAATTGCTGGAAGAAAAAAATAATTTCTTTTGGGTTTTAGAGATGTGGCTGGAAAAATTGTTTCTTTTGGTTTTCAGATGCAGCTGCGGTAAGGAGAAAGAGAGTTAGGTTCAAACCTACTCTGGTACCAAGATAAAAGTATTTAGGGTTTGAATTGAATGTTTATTCCTCTCTCTAGGAGGTAAATATATAGTTGTACAATATCCCACATAACAGGAAATAAGAATTCCAATTATACAAGGAATAAATTATAGGATTACATTCCTAAACTAAATGGTTGACTCATACCAACACCATTGGGCTTCCAAATGGTATAATTTTATTCTACACTTTCCTATCTTCATTTTGATATATTATGGGTCGAATTTGGTTAAGAAACGATTAAGTTACGAAGTTTTGAAAATTGCCCAAAATCGTTTTTAATGGACGTACCAAAATCATGGATGGTGGACAATCTCAAGGACCATTTCTATTGATTTTCAATCTCAGGGACCATTTCTATTGATCATGCAAATCTCAGGAACCATTTTGTATAATAACCCATTACAAAATATTGGATAAGAAATCCACCATCTAGCAAAACTAGCTAAGACCTCTCAAGTAGATCTATTTACAAGGAAGGACTATCAAAGAACCTCTGAAACTGCATGTGCAATCCCAAAGCATTGAGTTACGGGTTCATAACCACTTGAGTTGCAATATTAGATATTGGTGTGGGAAGCTGCAAAAGACCAGAGATCCAGCAAGAAGAGGATCAGGGGACGAAAATTAACTAGAAGGTAATTAATTCCTAATAGAACACATACACACACACACACACACACACAGACAAACATCACATACAACTGAGAAGAGAACTGTGACTGGGATGGAGTAGCTGGTAACAGTCCTTGAGCAGGGATCTGATCAGGAAACTTTTCATTCTCTATTAAGGGTGCCTGCTCATGGAAGGAACCTCAAAAGTGGGAACCAATGCATCCCTCTGTACTTCTTGTCATCGATGTTGTAGAATTATCAGAGAGACGAGCCAAGACCCACTTCCAACAACGCCGATATTGTCCCCAACTTGGTAATTACTACCTACACAATTTGTCAGGTGTGGGGTTTTATTACAAAAGGCCTCAATGTTAGTTGGAGTGGAGTTAGGATATTTAAACTTTTTTTCTCTCGTTAATACGGTCAATGTGGGACATTTCAATAGATGCAGCTAATGAGAGATATAGAGAGAGAAGAAATTGTAAATTTGGTGAAAATAAGCAATTGAATAGTAAAAAATAAGAGTGCTGATAAACCTACCCGCTGTCTTATTTTTTTCACCCATCTTTCAATAGTTTATTTTATGTCAATTTTAACCTCTTGTAAAATGACATATAAGAACAAGGTAAAAAACAAGTTGCTTCCAGTGATCTGCAAGCACACCCTAAATTCTTGTTTGGATTTTGTCATTCTACGTTGCTTTTGGGTGTCTCAATCACTCCCTCAAATTTTTCAAAAATGTTGAAGACACAGGTACTACTATGGGGAACCATTTGATCAAAGGCTATGCTCGGAGCAAAACTTCGCGCATAATTTGTTTAATTGTATAAATGGCTGGTGGGTTTAGAGGCAGAGGCGATGGGTTTTCCTATTCGTATGTTTTTAGTGCTCGAGGTTGGTGATAGAAGGGGAATAGGTGTTGTAACGCCTCGCCCCGAAATATTTATTTCGGAAAACAATATTGGTGATAGGCCCAAACTAAACTCTTGTTTAGTTAACTACCATTAATCACGATTCTTTACTTCAATTTCTTAATCCCTCACAAAAATTTATGACCAACATTTATTTACCAAAACATAAGGTTAAATCTCAAATTATTCACCAAATTCCTTTTCTTAGTTCAATTTCTCAACAAAAGATTTGTCTCGATTAATTAAGGCTGTATCTAACTCCTGTTAGACTGCCTACGTACCCTTGAATGAGATCAAGTCTTTCGTAGTTCACAATTCAATCCTAATCCATTTCCGATTATATTCCAAATAAACGAAATATCCAACATTAGTTATAATGATTGAAACACATCCAATGGATAACAAATTCGTATTTAGAATATCTAAATTTGAACAAAATGGCAGCATCGGCCCACTGGCCATGCTCCGCCGTGGGTGGCGGTTTCCAGCAAACGGAAACCCCAAATTCTAACCAACTCTAAAAATTACCAAATTTTACAGAAACAACTTTCATTCCTAGGCCGAAGTCCAATTCAGCCAAGAAACACCTCAAATCGCCCTCGAACCACCGAAAACCATTGATTTTGGTGTTCTTGATTCAACTCCAAAACAACTCCGACACCCCAACCAATGCATGGGCTTTGTTCTAGGCCTCAACAGGAGTCCAAAGCTGGTGGTAATTGAAGGATTTTTCAGGTTTTGACGAATCGAAGCCAAACCCGTCGCACCCACCGTGCGGTTTCTCCTAAAATCAAATCAATTTCTTTAGTTTTTCGGGTGTAAATGGGAGAGGTAATGACTAGTTTCGAAGTGAGGAGTAATTTGACACCGTCCCCGTCATCAACAATGGCTGGAATAGACAAATGGAGTTTGGTTGGGTCAACGGATCGAAAAGGGTCCGTGTTACTTTTCCTTCTCCCTCCTTTCTCTTCTCTCCTTTCCATCTCAGCCATCCATCTCTCTCTCTCTCTCTTTTCTCTTCTTTTCCTCTCATCCTAGCCACACACGTGACACGTGGCACAACTTAGTGCTCCAGATTTTCTGGAACCTTCTAAAATGAAGTAAAATTACCAAAATGTACCTAACTTTAAATGTTAATAACTCCCTTGTAATAACTCCGCTTTACGAACTGTTTACGCCTATGCGCTCACTCTACCCAAATTTAACAAGAGATAATTTCATATATATGAGTATAGAATACATCCTCATGTAATTAAGTAAAACCAACAAGGGTTATTTTCATCTTTTCCACTTAACGATAAATTTTACTATGTAAATTATAATAATTTCCAGAAACAAAACTTTTACATAACCATAAATCGATTTATTTTCGATTTTTCTCCACATATTCATATATTTAAATTTTTAGGGTATTACAGGTGCACATGAGGGTTCTAGAAAGTGGGTTCAGGGGTGGTGTTGAGTATGCACGCCGGTGTTTGATGGTATGATTGAGAGGAGTGCTGTGAGTTGGAATTCGTTACGTGCTGGCTATCTATGATGTCTGGAATTCGCTGCTTGAATGCTATGTATGGTGTCTGGATGTTGATGGTGCGCAGAGAATTTTTTATGAGATGCCAGAGAGGAATATTGTTTCATGGATCAACATGATTGTGGGGTGTGCTCAGAATGAGAGGTATACGCAGGCTTTATGACAAGTTGTTAATTAGAGATTATTTTAAGAATAATAGTGGGTGTGAAAATAACGTTTTAATTTTTTAACTTTTAAAGGTGGATAGAATTAAAATGTGGGTGAAGAAATAAGACAACGGGATGAGTCTAGTAACGCTAAAAAAGAAAGATGCTTTAGCCTTTTAAGAAGATGAAGGCTTGCAACTAATTGGGTGTTGACACCCACACTTATCAATTTATCAATGAAATTGAATTTGAATAATTTGGGCTTCAAAAAAATTGCACGGAAACCCGGAAGAAGATGAAAATTGAAGCAAACTATATGCATTGAGCAATTGAGACTCACCCAAAATATCGGAAATTAAAAGTATTAACGCATTAAGTAAAAATTAAAATTATCTCAATTTGAAGCTCATATCAGGCACATCAAACGAAACCAAGACAAACAAAAGTCATTCACTATGGAAGATTATTACAAAATCGCAGGACTCAGAAAATCTAGAAGCGAGTGGGTTCTACAGGATGAAGATTTTATGGTTTTGATTCAAATTTCAATAAATGAAAAATAAATTATAAAAAAATCATTAAAATTTAATAATGGTGACAAATGTAAATAAAATTAAAATTAGTAACTAACATATCAAGCCAAAGGTCACTGGTTAAGCTCCACACTTTGTGGCAGCGTCCGTGCATCCGCTGCTTTCTCCAGCATTCACGGTGGCGGTCGACGATGGTACTTCCACACCAGCAGTTCTCGGTGCCATATCTATTTATCAATTATTTCTCTCCGCTGTCTGTAGAATAGGAAAAATTGCTGAAGGGAACACTCGGAAATTTAGAAAAATGGTGAGTGTTATAGATTGAAGAATTTGCTTGATCGATACGGTGTGGGTTAAATTAAATTGTAAGGCTTGGGAATCAAATTGTAATAGCATTTAGTTTTATGGATTTATTTTAAAGAAGTAGTTGTTGTTGCCATCTGGCATTCACACACTATGGTGTGGGGATTTGAATTCTTTCCTGAACGAATGAAGAGGATATTCTTTATCAATCAACTTGGACCGTTCGATTTTTATTCAACGGTTATAAACAGGAAATCTCTTTAAAATTATAATAATTATAACTGTTGGATAAAAATCGAATGATCCAGGATGATTAATGAGAATGATCCCCTCCATTAACTCAGGAAAAATAGAAATATAGAAATGTATTTTTCCTGAACCAATGGTCAACCTATGATCAACCTTCTCATCAATCACACACTATGATGTGGGGATTTGGATTCTCTCCTGAACCAATGGTCAACCTTCTCATCAATCATCGTGGACGATTCGATTTTTATCCAATGGTTACAAAAAGGGAGGTAACTTTAAAGTTATAATGATTGTAGCTATTAGATAAAAATCGACCGGTCCAGGATGATTGATGAGAAGAATCCTCTTCATTAGCTCAGGAGAAATAGAAAAGTATTTTTCCTTTTACTGTTCATTGTCTTCCTCCTTGCACCGCCATAGCCATCACAATCATCGGTCAAGGTTGAACCGATCCTCGGCTGAGTCCTATTACTGGTATCTCCCACCATCTTGGTATCCCTTCCGTTTTATGCCTTGACCCAATCCAAACACTCGCATCTCCGTTATGGAATCTCGCATGTCTGCCATTGAATCCACCCCTGCTAATCTTCCCACTCTCTTCGCCGAAGCTATCGACCATGCCTTCGAAACTCGAATACCAATGTATTTCGAGCAATTCTGGCGGGAGCAAAGTGTTCGTAGAGGGAGCGATGCTTCATCGGCTTAGCACCACGCCGATAACCAAGTTTCTCGTGAAATCGATCAGATCCAGGCGCCCCGTAGCCCTCACAGCTCAACTGGAGCTCATTCCCCACGATCGGCGTGGTCTCCTCGCATCCAGATGGTGAGATCCTTCAATAGTCTCATGCTGCGAGGACTTCACTCGAGCATTGTGCAGAGAATTCGGGCTCTCTGAGTTTGAAGATGGTGTTAAAGCACTCTTCAAACTTCCCCAAACAGGTACTCTTCGTGAGTATATTACTGAGTTTAGAAAACTTGCTAATCATACCAGTGAAGTTGGTCATATTTTATTGAAGAGTTGTTTCGTTGGTGGTCTTAAGCGAGAATTGAAATTTGATGTGAAACTACTGAAACCCAAAACTTTTTGTGAAGTTATTGCTACAGATATTCAATTAGACTTCAAATTTCAGGAACTTAAGGGGGGATCCTACAAACCAGCAAACCCTACACTGCCAAAAATTCAGTTGCCAAACACCACAGTGACTACACCTTATGTTCCTAGGCTACATAATTACCCTATTAAGAAACTTTCACCTGCTGAAATTCAGTTGAAAAGGGAGAATGGAGAGTGTTGGTTTTGTAATGATAAATGGGTTAAGGGCCACAATTGTGGGTTAAAACAATTATTGATGTTGGATGTCATTGAACCAGATGAGGTTGGTGAGACTACTATTGAAGCCACTCTTGAATTCAAACAAATGCAACTTAGTTAGTGTGCCTTTTATGGCACCACTTCACACCCAACTGCTCAAACTATGAAAGCACATGGTTCTGTGAATGGTCATTCTGTTAGGATCTCATCGGATTCTGGCAGCACTCACAACTTTGTAGATTCTAGGTTGCTAAACAATGGGGCCAACAAGTACATCCCACTAAAGCATTTGAAGTGATGATTGCTGATGGTGGGAAGGTCCCAAGTTCTGGTTGTTGTAAATCTAATGCGTTGTCTTTGGGAGGGTATGATTGCATTGTTGATCTGTTTACCTCTTTGTGGTTGTGATTTAGTTCTTGGAGTCCAATGGCTTTCTACAATTAGTCCGGCCTTATGGGATTTCCAAAAGCTGATTATGGAATTCACAGGGCACCCAAAGCATTACAAACTGACAAATTCACCATCTCCAAGGCCTCTAATCCAGGATGTAGCCCTGCAACATCTCGATAAGAAGATTTGCAACTCTATTTTGGGATTCTTCCTCTGTTCACTGGAAACTCAAGGGTTACCTTTCAGTGACGTAACTCCCAAGCAACTGCAAGAATTACATTCTCTTCTTGGAGAATTTAATGAGCTTTTTGTGATACCACCCCATCCACCTCCCTCCAGGATTCATGATCACCATATCCCTCTGTTACCTAGTGACAAATGTGTTTTAATGTTTTGAAGTAATATTTATGTGGCAATGTGTGGTATGTGCAAATTTAAGAAAAAAAAATATTTTTCTTAACGGGTTGGGTCACTTTACCCGTTAGGTAAAGTGACCCAACCTGTTAAGGATCTGCTAAGATAACGGATGTAACACGACACGACCCGTTAAGATAACAAGTGTTACACAAAAACCACACAAACACGACAGACACGACCCGTTTGGCAAGCCTAGTCAGTGTAGAGAGTGATAACTTTCTTACAGCCAAGGCAAGAATCTTGCCCTTTCAAAAATGACATTTGTTGATGCACAAAATCAATGAGACTTTGGAACAACGTAAAGTGTCAAGTTTGTGACCTTCGCGAGGTTGCTCCGGTCACTTGATGATAGTCTATGTATATAATGCGAAAAGGACAAAAAGGTGAAATCATTCCGTTATGCCAAAAATGTCCTCACTTCATACACAAAGCTAACGTATAACTGCTCACAAAAACAAGGTCAAAATCCTAACATGATGCAATAAAAAGTGGAATTATATGCTGTGAACAATATGATGCAATAAAATATGTCTCTTGCATGCGCATGAGCGCGTGCAGAGAAGCTAGTAATAAGTAAAGAGATAGAGATAAGGAAGCAAACATAAGATGTACTTGATTCACCCTAAGTTTGGCTACATCCACGGAATAGAGGAGTTTTCATTAATAGCAAAGAGTTTACACAATACATAGGTTCAAGCATAATCATCATTAGTAGCTTCTAATGATGAGTTTCAGTATAGTAGTGACATTATCCCCTAATTGTATGAGAATGGTCTCCTTTTATACATGAGAGTCTCTTACTTTCTCCTTCTTTTCCGACGTTAAGATTCTAGTCCTGCAGGCCAATGAGAATGTGCCAATCTGGAAAGTTATTTGTCGTAAACCAAGGAGTAGCATCTTCTCTATAGCGGAGGCTAGTAGAGCTGGTTTATCCTCAATATTCGCTCTGAGATCTGAAACACCAAATACAATTTATATAGAGGTATTCGCTAGGTGCCTTGGAAGATGGCAATTTATAATGTCATGTATTTCTACAACAATCAGCAGTAGCTGTTGGTCAATGTTAACGTTGCAGCATCACTGACCAACCACCGTCACGCTAACCGTAACAACATTCTAGCATTCGCCATTTCGACAATCCTGACGTTGATCCAAATGAGATATCCGCAACAGGATCGTTCCAAACAAACCCCACACTCACGATTATTGCTTTGCATTTACCTTACTCGAGCTGCTACTACTGTTTACGAGCAGGGACACCGCTACTAGTAGTACTAGCACATATGATCTTGCAATTAGTTTGTGCCGCACGGGCCATGATGTTTGGTTCAGTCTCAATTGCTTCACTTTTGTGGCTTTTGCTTTTCCACCACCCCCGTTCCTGGGGACCTGTGGTGTATCTAATTTTGTGCTTGGCTTTTCCGGTGGTGCAGCATTTGGCCAGAAAAGCGGTGCTGCCGATGCGTAACCCGCTCTTTGGCCCCTCACCACAATGGATTTGTCTTTAGGATAATCAGAACGTCGAACAACTTCGTTGTTTTGACATGGAAGTTATTTGGTGTAAACCCAGCTTTGCTCTGAAAGTTACTTTAAGCGCTGATTTTTTTTTTTTTGTCAATTAAGTTCTGATCTATGCCGCTGATCTATGACCATCAATTAATGAAAGAAAGAGGCAAGTTGGAGAAAAGAGATTGAAATAAGTGCATTAAACAATTTACAATTTAGGTAAACATTTAATTACAAAACATCTAAAGTACAAGATAGATACATACAATTGCGTGGCGATTGAAGTTGGGACACCTAAAACACTGGAGATGCAATTAGCTGCTGATTAGTGTAACAAAAATTACATATCATGTCTTTTGGCCATGCAAATAATTAGTGGGCACTCTCCGACACCCAACCTGAGACCATACTTTCGTCCACTGGTTTTGGTCCCCCGCAAGACCTTGAGACAGATTCAAATAGTTTTTCAATCTCCGGCGCACATCTGATGAAAGCTCGGTTCCAGAAATGGTATCTCGGATTCTGAAAAAATTTCAACAATACCCTTGTGATTTACTCCTGGATAATTTCATGCTGAAGTAAAAAATAACGTCAACAGTTAGAAGATGCAGCTCAATCGTAATTGATATGAAAACAATCCCCCATAAATTTTTCAACAAAAAGAACGACGACTATCACAGAGCAAATATGAAGCATCTAAGTTGTCTCACCTGGTTTGATTCAGCAAACAAGCAGAAAGCAATGAAGGAAAAGTAATGGGTATGCGTGTTTGGATAACGCAGTTGGTTCGCGATCGCATTTAGGAAAAGGTAGCGCCCTTCAGTATCTAGGTCCACTATCAGAGTCTGAAAAATATCCAAACCAGCACCCACCAAATGGACTGTCAATGGAACAGTTTGGGTAGATTGGCCTGAAGCTGCTGGATAGCCTGTAAAATCAACCCAAAATATAAGCACCCGACCAAAACTGCTAGTCTTGTGTCCAAACACAAAAAAGATCAGGATCCTCTCCTGAGCTAAGGGTGAGGATCCTCCTGACCAAGCACATCGGGCCCTTGAAATTTTATCCAACGGCTACAAACAAAGACCCCTCTAAAAGTTATAATAATTGTAACCATTGGATAAAATTTCAATGGCCCGATGTGCTTGGTCAGGAGGATCCTCACCCTTAGCTCAGGAGAGGATCCTGATCCAAAAAAAAGTGGGTTTCGTGACGATTTTGTAGTGGTGAATTAAAAGGTCAATAAGACCTTAGGAAACAACCCACAAGTCACTGCAAATTCTGAAACAATTTTGAGGTATACTAGCAAAAGAGCCCGCGCATTGCTGCGGGTTTACAATTCTGTTTAGACATACTAACAACAATGTTTACATCTCTATTTACTTATATATGTACATTCATATTTACAATCCTATTTACACAAATATACTATTCAGAACTTCCGACTCTCTTCATTGAAACTTCAGAGGTTTTTTCCCCTTGCTTAGAAATTAGAATAAAACTGTAATTATTGAGGTGATTTTTTTTAATTGCTAAAAAATTGGATACTTTCTTCAGTTAGTTTTCAAATACATTTAATAAGAAATGTCAAAAACAAATATATGCTGATCTCCAAATTTAAGTACGCCATGAAGAGAAAAATAATAATTACAACTTACACATGTTAAAGCAAACAAATGAGGAGAAAGTACTCTTCAAATTGCTAATCTCACATTTTCCTCTAAGCTAACCACAATAAACTCTTTTACCACAATTCTTAGCCTGCAGGTATGAATAAAGGTTAGAATTCACATCTAATAGTAAACAGAAATATACTCTCATTCTGCTAAATTGTGAACTGAGAAAAACAAATGCATAGATGTAGGAAAAGATTTATAAGATCTTAAAAAATGTAAAAAAAAAAAGGGTAATCATCCTCTTATAAATGCTTTATTATACTTTGTACCCGACCAAACATTGCATCTATGTGTTAAAAAACATAAGGATAGAACTTGAAGTGTTCTTAAAACGGAAACCCAATGCTTGATGTTTTGAGGCTGCCAACTCATTAGTCATTGCAGCAAATTTGGAAATGAAACAACGACATCTTTCGAACCACAGATATCATGAATTCTCTATAATTGGTGCAAACTTCCCTATATAAATAATAAACACAAATGCATAATCTTGAGTACCTCGTATACAGTTCCAAAACCGCCTCAACCTATCTTATCACTCGGATGAAAATTATCCGTCACGGATCTTAATTCATTGTAGGAGAAAGCCTTGATATTTTCCAGCATATTCTCTATGCAACACACAAAACAATCAATCAATCACAATAACAATGATGATCCAACAGAATCACATGAACAAAAAAACCACAGTACGGAGGTAACAAAACCAGAAAGTGGGAACATTTAACCATGTCCGTACCATCAAGATCATGACCAAATCAACCAGAACCAGAACCAGAACCAGATTTCCTTTTCCTCTCAGCAACCAAAGCACCAAAGCAGCTGCGACGCATATTAACTTGTCCACAATAATCAAATCCTACCTTCTGGGTTCTCTCAAATGTACAGAAAAACAGCTCCCTTCTGATAAGAGAGCCCTCCCTAATCGGATTTGGACCGACCCATGTTGCCAAAATCCTATATTTCACAACCAAATAGTCACAAAAATTTCCTCAAAACACCAAAAGTTCAAACTAATAAGATTTGAAAATTCGAAACAACCCACCTTGTGGATTTGCAGATTATCAATCAAGTTTTGATGTCCTGATTCCCTTTAGCATCTGTTTCTGTCAGCAACCATGGAGAACGAGAGAGAGCTTGAAATTCTCTGTTTAAAAAATATATATATAAAAAGATGCTCTTTTATGCATTTTGGCAACATTGTTATAAATAAGATGTTGAAATTTAAGAGCATTATGTAAAAGATATTTAAAAAAATTAAAAATTTAAAAACCCCATCTATTATGATCTCTGCATACCCCTGCTGTCTCGTAGGAGAAGCTGATGAACAGTGGCAGTAGAATCAAGCAACCAAGTTATGAAATACAAATTTAAAATGTACCTATTTACTGTGTCTAATGAACCTGTGAAATCAAATAGTTAAACCCTAAAAAGCACCACTGCAAATAGCATAAGAAAATTGAAATTAACCCTAAAGAAATTGGGAGAGAATAATATGAAGGGAATACCTTTCGGCCCTTTGAGTTATTGGAAAAAAACCCAACAGAGCAAAAGCCTCCAACTCCAAAGACTGTTGTGGGATTTGGAAGGGAGCAAGAGAGAGAGAAAATATCAGAAGAAATAAAGCAAGAGAGGGGGGAACCAAAAGGGGGAAGAAGAAGCAGCAAAAGCGAAGCAGAGGAAGAAGAAATAAGGGAAAAAAAGGACTGAAATTAAGTACGCAACCATATACTTATAATAGCAACTAATCAAATAGAACTGAAAAATATGGAGGAATCATATCAGTCACACTTACAAAGTATTGAAAGATATCGAGCAACAAAGTCAGTCTCACAGCTAAGTTCAATAATAGCAGCCTTGTTCTCATTCTGAGCTAGAGCCAGCAAGCCCTCAGCAGCCATCCGAGATGACTTTTTCGACGCCAAAACCTTCCCTCTCCTCCTCAATTCCTTCTGAGCTGCCTCTGCATTTCATTAAAGAAACCAACTTTGATAAGGATTCAAAAAATATATATACACACACATAACCGATTCATATTAGCATAAACAAAAATGGGAAGAAAGGGGTTCTGACCAATATCCCAATTGCTATCAATGAGAGCAGCCTTAACGTCGCCATAATTATATGGTTCTAAAGGCATATTCACACTTCAAATAAAATCTGGCAGTTGTTTGCGCTTGTAAACAATTTCTCTTTGCAAAACTACATAAATTGTAATGACCTAAGAAATCAAAATTTGATTAGGCATTAGAAACAATGTTACCTTTAGGAGAGAAGGACACTCAACCAAATGAAAGCCCAAATTTAAAACAGCAACCGAATGAGAATCTGACATTATAAAATCCATAAGAAGCGCTTAGTGTGTCTAATTTAAAAAGCCTCTCACACATATGTAATTGTACATAGCGCGCCAGATTCACAAAAAAAAAAAACACCTTGATACCAAAGGACTGCAAAGGATTGCTTTGTCATAGAAAGTAAAAGAATAAATTGAATCAATTGAATATGCTTCTTGCCAACCAACAAAGTAAAACACAGGGCAACAACCATTTCTTTTATCCCATTTGTCCAACACCACCCGCATTTCAAACAAAAAGGAAGAGTTAAATAACTAATAACTTCAGGCACTTTCCAATTCTCAGCTAGCATGATAAAGACCGTGGATAATTTATTGTGTCCATTTTCCTTCCATCTTAAGTGACCAGAAACTGAAAATTTCTTATCAAATGTATTAATGCTGCAATATATAGGATGACGGAGAAAATTCCAGTGAAGTTTGGTTGAGGAAATTTCTTATCATCGCATACAGACAAAACAATATAACCTTAACAACAGAGGCTCCGGTAGCAAACTTTTTCCCCAATTTTTTTGAAGCATCACTAAGTTTGACACCTGAATTGTAATCAAAGAAACCGTGTTAATTATGGTAGGAACAAAATAAGATTCATTAATATGATTCATTACATGAAAATGAGAAGAAAATTGGAACTTTACACACAAAAATTAAAAGAGCCATGTTCAAAAGAGTTTTCTAATTATCTTGAGGAGAGGAGGTCACCCAACATGACCAAAAACAATATTTCGTTTCCTACAGCTATAAACATCAATTTCTATCTGACAACAAAGCTTAAATTACATGGATAATATTTATGGTTATAAACTGAAAACACAACCTGACGTGATCCATTCGTTGATAATGCACCAATTTGAAGAGCAACGACACAGGTATGGTTATATTTTCTCTCCCTCTTCACAGACAACATAAACCCATTTGTTAGTGACTCAAATAAATAACATAGAGGATGAACTAAACCTATCTGTTCATAACCCTCCAACCCAGCGACGTATCAGATGGCTTTCTTGCAAATAAGGTGAAATCAAGGGGTATTTTCTTGACTGTGGGCATTTTCGCTAATTCCAACCCACAAGTCAACTGCAAACTCTGAATTCTCAAAACAATTTTGTCCTTTAGTATAACCTAAGCGGCGTTTTCGCCAATTCAGAAACTACTTTGAATTCTCAAAATATTTTGTCCTTTAGTATAAATTAAGGGGCATTTTCGCCAATTCAGAAACTACTCTGAATTCTTTTAGAATGGCAATTTATAAATTAAGGGGCATTTTCGCCAATTCAGAAACAACTCTGAATTCTCAAACAATTCTCTGAATTCCCGTACACTTTTGTCCTTTAGAATGGCAATGTATAAATTAAGCGGCATTTTCGCCAATTCAGAAACACCACTCACACTACATATAGAGCTTTAGAATGGCCGGGTCTCTCAATTCTGAAACACCAAATACACTTGATATAGAGCTATTCGCTAGGAGGATGGCAATTTATAATGTCACGTATTTCTCCAATAATCAGCAGCAGCTGGTCTTCTATGTCAACGTTGCAGCACCACTGACCAATCACCGACACGCACACCGTAACAACATTCTTGCGTTTGCCATTTCGACAATCCTGACGTTGGTCCAAATGAGATATCCGCAACAAGATCTCTTCCAAACAAACCCCACACTCACGATGATCACCATGTCGAGCGTTCTTGCTTATTGCTTTGCTTTTACCTTACTCGAGCTGCTGCTACTATTTACGAGCAGGGACACCGCTACTAGCAGCACCAGCACATATGATCTTGCAATTTGTTGGTGTCGCACGGCCATGATGGGGTTTGGTTCAGTCTCAGTTGCTTCACTTTTGTGGCTTCTGCTTTTCCACCACCCCCGTTCATGGGGACCTGTGATGTATCTAATTTTGTGCTTGGCTTTTCCGGTGGTGCTGCATTTGGCCAGGAAAGCGGCGTTGCCCATGGATAACCTACTCTTTGAACGAGGCCGGGGTCCAAGGACAAGTCGACTCTTGCCCCTCTAACACAATGGACAGTCTTTAAGATAATCTGAAAGTCTTAACAACTTCGTTGTTTTCACATGGAAGTTCTATGGTTTAAATCCACCTTTGCTATGAAAGTTATTAAGTGCTGAATTTTTTTCCTTTTTAGCCAATTAAGTTCTGATCCATGATGTTGATCTATGGCTATCAATTAATGAAAGAAAGGGGCGAGCTTTTTTTTATTTTTTTGAGATGAAAGACTTTATTGATGAAAGATTGAAAACGTACAAAGGTAAGGATATGGTGCAAATCAAGAGCCTCAATAAAAACCTTGCCGAGAATTTCAACCCGGACCAAGAGAAAAAGAACGCCACGCACCAAGCAACATATATATCACTGCGATTCTCAAAAAGAATATAAGAGAGTACTCAGGAGGAGCTTCTCGAACCAAGTTACTTGGTTATCAAGTGTCAGACTTAACCTTGATTGAAATAAGTGCATTAAACAATTTACAATTTAGGTAAATATTTAATTACAAGAGATCTAAAATACAAAATAAATACATACAGTAGCATGGGGAATGAAGTTGGAACACCTAAAAGACTGGAGATGCAACTTGCTGCCGATTAGTGTCACAAAAAATACAAATCATGTCTTTTGGCCACACAAATAATTAGTGGGCGCTCTCCGATACCCAACCTGAGACCATACTTTCGTCCACTGGTTTTGGTCCCCCGCAAGACCTTGAGACAGATTCAAAGAGTTTTTCAATCTCTGGCGCACATCTGATGAAAGCTCGGTTCCAGAACTGGTATCTCGGATTCTGAAAATTTTAAAAACAGCAATTTCGAATTTTTCAGATTGCGAAGTTCGTGTTTCTTTCGATCTTTCATTTTGGAAGGACGGGAAGTTACCTTGATAAGCTCAATGAAGGTAATTAGAAGACCCCATGGATGAGGCCGGTTGACAATCAGACGTTCCAACAATACCCTTGTGATTTGCTCCTGGATAATTTCATGCTGAAGTAAAAGAAATAACTTCTACGGTTAGAAGATGCAGCTCAATAGTAATTGATATGAAAACAATCTAAGAACATGCATTCGGGGACGTCCCTATAATTTTTTCAACAAAAACAACAGACGACTATGATAGAGCATATATGAAGCATCTAAGTTGTCTCACCTGGTTTGATTCAGCAAACAAGTACAAAACAATGAAAGAAAAGTAATGGGTATGGGTGTTTGGATAACGCAGTTGGTTCGCGATCGCATTTAGGAAAAGGTAGCGCCCTTCAGTATCTAGGTCCACTATCAGAGTCTGAAAAATATCCAAAGCAGCACCCACCAAATAGACAGTCAGTGGAACAGTTTGGGTAGATTGCGCATGAGGTGTTCTAGCCTGAAGCTGCTGGATAGCCTGTAAAATCAACCCAAAATATAAGCACCCGATTGAGGCTGCTGGATTACATGTAAGTTTCAATACTACATAACAAGGACTGATGTTAAACAAAAAAGCATTATAACAGTTGGATCTCGTAGCACAATCCAGCATAAGAACAAGTACCTGCATCCCAACATAAAGCACAAGGGAGTTGATCAGGGGTACATTGTAACGAGTACCAGCTGAGGCAGCTTCGCTTGGTAAAAGGAGCAACTTTTGCTTCAGTTCAGTCAGAAATGAAGAACCCTGTTGCCTTGTCTGTAAAGTATTTTGAAACAATGTTTAAGCATGATAAAATATTACAAGAAGAAAACCACGATGGGAACCCAATGTGTAATTTATAAAAATTTAAAAAATATATGTTAGACAATAGAAAGTCAGAGCGAAATAGTACAAGATTATTTAACGTCAAAACAAATTAGCTGATAACAAATGAAATAGTAAAAGATTACTGGCCAAAAAGTCCGCGTACCTTGAGATACTCATCCACATCAGCTTTCATCTGCTTCGCTTTTAGAGCTGCATCAACCTCGGAAAGAATACGTGGAGACTGACTGATTTCTGCAAGCAAATCAATCTGCATATATACAGGGGACAAACCAGTCCCCACCAGATCAGTTTTCATAACGTAACAATGTTACAAATACAAAATAAATATGCAAGATCATCAGCCACCTTTAAGTTGGGAGTAGATGGATCTGGTAGCCTCATATTACGGGGAAATGCACTGAGGATGATATTTCGCATTTGAATGCAGCTTGGAGGGATTACATCACAGAAAGTAAAATGATAATCACAAAGGAACTCCGGAAAATCATGAAGTAGCACTAGAAGCACCCTAAGTGTGCCTTTATACATGAAATGAACCTACATGGATAAAAATACCAGAAAACTCTGAGACAGAGAGCACGTAAAGAAATACTGCTGCAAACAATGAAATCCAGAAGAGAAAAGAGGCAGACCGGAACTCCAAGTTCAGCATTCCTCAAAAATGGCTCCATAAATTGAAACAAATGTACCAGCAAACGTTGGACATAGGGCCAACCCTTCTGACCATTTCCAACAAGCATTTTTGGCATGAAACTCCTATGACTCACCAACTCAAGCCATGCAAAGCTGATAAAGAATTTTCTCAGAAACGGAATGCACAGTTCCAAGGAATATTAAGATCAAAGTCTATTCTTTCACATATCATCATATCTAACTTATGTACACCGAGACTAAACTAAAATGTTTACACACAAGAATGTGAATACACAAGCAACAGAGGAAAGAAGAGAGAGAAAAGAAAAAGTGATAAGCAAGAGGCAAAATTGAGGGACAAAGAGTAAGTAACAAAGTTTTGCGATTTCAAAAATATGGATCAAGAAGAAACACCCATGGAGTAGTTACAAGGGACAGTCCAAACTTAACTCAAAGCCAATCCCCAATTAAATAAAATTCCAAAAGTGTCGTCCAGTCAAAAATAGTATCAGCCTAGAAGTTCATAATCACAGAACAACATAAACATTAAACAAATTCCAAAAGTGTCGTCCAGTCAAAATTAGTAACAGGGTAGCAGTTCATAATCACATAACAAAAAGAACATATAACATACCACTACAACTGTACAAGCTACAATTTCCTATAACAACTCGTTTCATTTCCTACCAACGACGGAATAGTATGAAGTATGACTATGACACTAACCTGAACGTAGGAACCTTAAGGGGCTGCAAAGCATGAAATGCATTTGCAAATGCTGTCAATATCTGCAACATAGATAACCAACATTAGTGAAAGAGGCAAAAATGACAAACCAAAGGAGCAAGGGACCCCAGAAGTCCAGACCTGAAAGTTAGCACCATCAATCACAGGATCCAAAGAACCAAGGTCTAGAAGCCAGTTGACAAACAATCTAAAATACGGTCTTGGATTGAAAGATGTTTTCTTCTCCTCTGCATCCTTTTGAATGAATCTCACTGTGACTGCCAATATCTGCCAAGTGTCAAACAATCAGCCAAATGAATATTTCTTTTTGAGAAAATCAGCGACATGAATTATTGAATAAGCAATAAAAACAAGATTCAATCAAACGAAAAACTACTTTGTATTTGTACTCACCTTAGACAAGAGAAATAGTTTACTTGATCCCTGCTCCAACAGATAATCCATAGTTAAATTAGGTCCAGGAATCATAAAGAGCATAAAACATACATACAAAGGAATAATTACCTTCAAAATTAAGAAGACAAGTTTAGCATAAATATCAATAGCAAGGAAGGAGAGATTCTGCACTTGTTGAGGTGCTTGCGGTGAGCTTGGAATTGTCCTCTCAGAAGATAGGCAATGTGCAACAGATAGCTCCTGAAAATGAGTAACAGAAAATATGCTTTATAGCACTAAGTATCATTCTGAAAGCAAACCAATTTAGGAATTGAGAACTCACTGTGAGGACACGGAAAAACCGGTCTGTCATATCATCCCCCTTCAGCAGACCATTTTGATGCAACTGCAAGATAAAATGGGCACAAGCTGCATCGTTTGCACCAGGAAGTTCGCAAATCTGGTACCACTCTGCAAACAGCATAGACACCTACAGGATATCCACAGAAGTCAAACCATTTTAGAGAATCTTTGTATGTACCTAGAAATATTTCCTTTTGTACTCTAATAAATTATCTAAGATCTCACCCCTTTATCCACCTAAAAAAAGGTCCACTCTTTTCAAGTGCTCCGTCTCCCAATAATATGTATCAAGCAATAATGTGACAGACTATGTACAAGGAAAAAAGCAACAGGACAACAGGATTCCCACTCCCCCAATGAAAAAATTAAAATAATAATAAAAAGAAACAGGCAAACAGGCATTCTTCTGTTTAAATATTCATTGCAACTAATATTTCTGTTTAATATCCTTACCATCTAAGAATGTGAGGATTACGAATATAATTAATGTCTAAAGATACCTGCTCACGGAATCCAGCAGGATCTGGTTCGACAGACTCCACATTACTAAAGTCTTCCCTGCTCACCGGAGAGTGAACAGAAGCCTGTTACAACCAAAGCAAAGTATTAGTTAGCACCGAAAATAAATACACAAAGATACTGAAGACATCTACACCGACCTTTTTATCTTTAGATATTCTGGCTTTGTCCTCTTTTCCTACATTAATAGCAGACGGCGCACCAAGAATATAAGCAGGATTCTTTACCATTTCAACCAGCTGCTGTAGCGACTCAGGAGATCCAGGCTTTGCAGCGAGCTGTGTAACAGAACAGGTCAATGGAATGTACTTACAATAAACACAAGAACATTTTTTTTTTCTTTTACACAAACCTTTGCCAATGCGTCAACAAGATTATGAAGTTCTGATATAACTTTAGATTCTTCAATCACCAAAGATTGGAGAAGGGAAATTGAAAACTCAGTTGCAGGCTCTGCATATTTTAAGAATTTGATAAGTTACAACAACTCTAGTAGTATTAATGAATGATTCAGTATACAACACAGCTATTTTACTTACTATTTCTGCCCCCATCAATAAGTTTTGCCATTTGAACATTGTACTCTGCAAGATTTAGCAATTCACTGTGAATGAGGCCAACAGTAATATCTTTGTTAAACTTCCGCTCCTCATCCGAATAAATAACCTGCAAGAAGTTGCAAACCAACATATTCTAATGAGAAAAAGTGAAGGCCAGAAGCCTTGGAACAATATCTATATTGGTTTTGTAAGTTTCTAACTAATATGAAGGTGACGTGATTATATAGCCATTAGTACCTACAAAATAAAACTCAGAAATTTAAAAGTATTGCAACTATAAAAGATAAAATGTGAGCAAATATGTGAAGATCACCAAGGCAAACAAATTTACGAAGAAAATTTGGTGGCCCAATATGACCCCAAATAAATTAGTAGTTCAGTTTGAAAAAGAAGATAAAGGCTTTCCAGTTAACAATAGTTATCTCCGAATACAAGTACAAAAGCGCATACCCAACTAGTGAGCTCCTTAACAACAAGCTTGCAAACATCGCGAATAGCTGTCAGCATTGCAATATGAGCACTGACATGAGTATGGTTTGATGCATTTTCGTATAAACCCTTGAAAACCTGTATCACGATGAAAAGAAGCATTGGTGGATCGGTTATCGGAGATATAAATTTTCTTCCCAGGGATCTTGTCAACTGCAGTAATTAACTGTTCAAACAAATAAATAAAAGCTTCACATGAAGGGTAGCACTGACCTTTTGAGCCACAGCCAAGGCAGCCTCATCTCGACTAACACACCTGAGTATAATCTCAGGAACTTCACCAATTACTCCCTGGATAGACATAAGGTCAAAGAACATTCAACTCGTGTGAAATATGTACGCCAATGTATGCAGGTTGTACATGTAAATATGTATAATGTATGTATGAGTACAGAAATGAAAATACTATCAATCTAGTTCAAATTTAGATGATGCATATCGAGAATATCTTTCAAGTTCACAATCTGGAGGCAGTATATACCACAAGGAAGAACATATGTGATACCTGAATTTCTAACTCTCTAGCATCGTTGGTTACCAAAGCTTCAAGCTGAAATATAAACAGAACATATGTCAAGCTAAGAAAAGATACATTTTCATTAATTCATTAACACTAAAAATTAATAATAAACCAAAAAGGACATCCATAAAGAATAAATCACGAATTCATCCCCAACATAGATACGAAGAAGACAAATATCAGAAAGTCCAGGTCTCAGAAGAAAAGGCATATGAGAAAGAAAGGAGCCACATAGGTGTGATTTTCAACCTTCTGTGAAATAATCTGGTATTTATCCAATGCATCCCTCGTATTGAGAGAAGGTTCTGATATGTTGCTTGCCAGACGTTCAGTTACAGTAGATGACGGTTGTGGCTGTGAAGAAATTCCAGACTCCTAGAATCCAAATGCAATTATGAGAAAATAACAAAAATTGCAACTTACACATTATCAATCATGTAAAAATTTCAACCTGTATAGTATCAGATGACTCTACTGATTGCAGCTCTAGGGCAGAAGCAGCAGGAGGAAATGAACCAATGACAGAATCATTCTCAGAACTATGCTGGGAAACACCATCACCCGCTCCAACATTAATAGAGGATGCACTGAAGCATCACATAAAATTACAAACATTCAAGCAATTAATACTTCAAGTATATGAACAAAAGAACTAACAAACTATAAATCTAATAAAAAGAAACCTTGGATGCAGAGCCGGATTGGATTCAATCGCCTCATCCAGTGGACGAGAAACTGCATCAAATTTGCTTCCGGGGCCTGCTGAGAAGCCTGTGTTAATTTGAGCCGAGGCTGAACCAAATGTGCTATTTAGACCTGCACTTGCAGATGTAGCTGCAGTACTAGCAGGAAGAACATGTGAATTCTGGCTAGACTGGTTTTGCCAGGGAAGCCGCACAAAGTCCTATATGATAGAGGGGGTGCAAGAAGAAACAAAATTACTAATCATTCATATAAGCACCAGACTATGCTTGCCAAAATAGCAAATACCTCATAAACTCGTTGTTGAGAAATGGACAAATGACCAGGTTTTGGGCGAAGGGACTCGGGCACACTGCCTCCTTGTGTATACATGTTAGCATCAAAAAACGTTGTACCTGCACCTTCCCTCTTCCTTCTTAATGAAAGTTGTTGAGCTATTTCTCCATCAATTGTTTGTACTGCCTGCAAACATTTAGAGAGTAGTTAAAGAACAGAATATTTCCATTTCCATTTTTCTCTCTAAATATGAACGATTTTGTTTAATTATTAAATTATTAGTTACTATTTGTTTATCTAAACTGACTTTTAATCATTCCCAAAGAAAACTTCCATTAACACATAATCCTTAAATTTCTCCCTGACCCATTTACCCAGAAAATGGTATGAAAGGTTTTCAAACCCAGGCTCCAGCATACTGACTTTAACCCACTACTGAGCAACAAAAAATATTTCAATAGTTGAGTGACATCTTGCCACCATAATAATCATCACAAAAAGAACTAACACCAAACAAACAATAACATCAAATTCCAAAGCATATATATGTATTATATAAAGCATTCATCCATCGAACCAGACCTTATCAGTAGCAGACTGTTCAATGATTGCACAGCCAAGATCCAGATTGTCATTAGTAACAAGTTGTACAGCATGCTCCAGATGATCATTTGGAATATTTAATCCCTGAAGGGAATTCCGCAGCTGGGTTGATATTGAACTACGCAACGGTTCCTGCTTCAAGAAAATACAAACAGAAGATGAATACCAGGACATAAACGGTCGGTCACCAAGAAAAGGGGCCCACCAAAGAAGTTTACAGCAGGGAAGAATACATCATCAGAAGAATAATAGGAACGCCGCAATTTTTCTTTGTATCAGATACATCATGTGGCATGCGAATAGGTGTTTCAAATGTGCCCAAACTATAACATGTGTAAAAACCCATAAAACAGGTAGGCTATCAATGATTTTTGCCAAAAGAATCCCAAGAAATTTACTGTCAGTGGAAATACCTTGCAAGTTACATGAGCTAGACTTCCTGCCAAACTTGCAACCATCAAGTGAGCTGCCAGTAATATTCTTGTCTCATCGGATTCCATGGCATAATCCTGCCACCACAAGTAATGAGGAGATGTTGGATAAAATAGTTTCTTTTCTGTAAAACTTTTAGCCATGCACCCAAACCAAGCCTTACCATGAATCTTACTACAGAAATGTAATCCCCAACGCAACCCATAGCAACAATGTAAGGAATGAAAACAGAGCACAGTAAGAGAGATGAATCAGATCTACATTACGATTCTTACTTTTGACATCCAATGTATAAAGAATTTTTACAGCATAAATATTCTTGCAACTTGGTGCCTCACATGATATGAAAACAGAGGTGAGGTAAGCTTTTCCCAAATGGTTACTTTGTTGAAATTTTAATGTGGGAAGTGTGACACTAATCTTAACAATACAACAACAACAAAGCCTTTTCCCACTAAGTGGGATCGGCTATATGAATCCTAGAACGCCATTGCACTCGGTTCTACACTAATCTTAACAATAAAGAAAAAAAAAATTTAGTGACAAATATTAATGTGATACAAAAGAATCACAGCCTTAAGTCATTATTTAGAAAGAAATAAAAACACCTATAAATGTTCTATTCAAGCCTGATGGGTGTATGAGACATATTGGAGTGGCAAATGAACTTCAATGTCAACTCTTGATTGTACTGACCTCAACCCCATTAGTACAGACTAAAGCAAGAGAAGCACAGCAATATACAAAATATTGCAATGCTAATTAGAAATGAAATGGTAATCACAAACATTATCTTGAACTCCACCAACAAGCCAATTGCAGATGGAAATGCAGTATTAGTCCCAATGCTAAACCCAAAGTGCAGAAATGTTTCCTGACATTGTACATATGAAGATAGAAGAAAATCACTGAAATAGGGCCGCTATTCTTTACAGAACAGAAACATACACTTAGTACTCAAAATTTGGCATATACAAAGATAAAAGTGCTACCACAACACAGATATCAAATACGAGTAAGCACACATAACAAGATTGACTAGATGAGGAAGGGATGTCATAGAAGCTGTAGCATGCAAAATAGGGGCAAAAAGTTGGTGCCATCAAACAGCAATCAGGGACAAGAAATATTATATGAAGATGATAAGATTTAACAGAGAACACAGCATTAAAGATAAAACAATGGCCACTAGTAACGAGAATTAATACCTCAAAATATGAGTTAACTTACCTTTAAGACAAGCTCTTTAGTTGTCTGAGTAGCTATAGAAACACTGCGCTGAACGATGCCAGTTACTATCTCTTTGATAGCTCTGTCCATTGCAATTGGAACCACCCTGCAATATGAGAAAAGAAAAATGAGCAATTCTACCAAAGAACTGGCTAACACAATATGTAAGGAAGGACTATCAAAGAACCTCTGAAAATGCAAGTGCAATCCCAAAGCACTGAGTTTCGGGTTGATAACCACGTGAGTTGCAATATTAGATATTGGTGTGGGAAGCTGCAAAAGACCAGAGATCCAGCCAAGAAGAGGATCAGGGAATGAAAACTAAATAGAAGGCAATTAATTCCTAATAGACCACATACACAAAAGCATCTCATACAAAAACAAAACATTAAAGTGCATCTGACTAACAGAGAATGGTGACTGGGATGGAGTAGCTGGTAACAGTCCTTGAGCAGGAATCTGATCAGGAAACACCTTTTCATCCTCGATTAAGGTTCCCGGTGAAACATGAACAGGGGTCGCATACTAAATAGAAAATACAACAAAATGTCAAGCTAATAAGAAAAGATGTGTCACATATCTGATCACCCAAAAGGTCTGAAAATGTGTCACAAATGATCACCCAAATGATCTGAATTCCTCAACAATTGGAACAAACCTGAGATATATGTGTATGGCTTGCAGAATTAGATGGACCAACATCAACTGGTAGTTCAACTTGATTTAGTTTCACTTCGGCAACCATCTGTGGTTGGGATGCTCCAATATCTTTGTTAGAGAAATCAGGATTCCCTTCAACTTCTCTGTTCCGGTCCTTGAGTAGAGAACTTGGGGTTATCTCCTTCAAATCCACACCAAGGTTCTTAAATAGAACCTGCAATTCCAAAATAATAAGGTATAAATACAAATAAATATTATAACAATAGATACAATACTATAGAAGTCAAGCTCTTTAGTAGCAAACCAAAAAAAAAAAAAAAAACATGCGATACCTCGATGTCAAACTTCAGGTTCATTTTCAAGTTTGGCATTGAATATATCTCAGCAAGTAATCCAAGAATACCCATTGTCCAAGGATTTGGTGGCTGATATGCCAAGCTACTTTGGCATGGCTCCAGAATCTGCAGCAAAAGCATAAGATCTTCATACATCCTAGGCCAGAGAAAAAGAAAGCAAAACAACCATAACAATACCTTTGAAGTAAAGGGTATAACTGCAATCATCAACCCTTTCTCATATGCCTGCAGAGTGAGGGAGAGAAAGGAGGGTGCATTAGCATAAACCAAATGATAACCATTTAATAAGTAGCACAAGTCTATGCCACAGGGCAAGAAAGACAACATTGATCAAACTATTACCTCTATAATCAAAGATTTGGGATCTATTTCCCGAGCCCTTAAGACTTGATTCCTTCCAATTGTAAGCTTCCCAAGCCAGCTACCTAAATTTTTTAGCAACGAACGCTCTTCTGCACTTGACTTTATAAGCTCAGATCCAAGAAGAACCTGAAAGGATGTGCAGGCATTAAATAATACTGCCATATAATCATACTCTAATGTCCAAATACCTCACATGTAAAACAAGAAACCTTGAACCCAACCACAAAAGGAAAAGACATAATAAGAAAAGACAAAAAACCTTGCAGTTCTCATAAGTGGCTTGAACAATCTCCTTATTCAAACCCTTGGAATTAACTTTGTCCAGAAATTTCAGGTACAAATCATGAAAATTCGGCTCAATGCTTGCCCTGCCAAGAGGTTATGTTGATGCACAAGTTAGTAAAATCATCAAAGGAAAGTGAGATAATCTAAATACAAAAAATATATAAAAAATAAACAAAGAAAATAAAATCTAAAATTATCTTTATATACCTCAGATACAAGAAAGTGTCTTACCTTTTCATAACCATATACTGTGCAAACCAAGGATAGTACTGCTCTTTCATTATTTCGGCAAACTCCTTTGACTTAGCTTCAACATTAGCAACTGAAATATTATTAATTATAAATGATATCTTGTCCTGAATCTCTGATGCTGGAGCCTGTATGAAAGAAAAAACACCTGTAAGCATTAAACTCAGAATCTTATAACATGGAGAGCTCAAATACTTCACCCACAAACTGCAAAACTCTAACATAACATCAAGTTCAGACAATTAAGAACTTCTCAAAAGCACACAGAATAAATATGAGAAACGAAGAACAAAGAAATCCTCTCTCTATGTGCTACAGCCCCCAAGTCATAAACAAAAGATATAAATGATTATAGAGAGTAGCCATCTTTGATGTTCCTCCATCGAAGTCAAGATGATCAAAGCACATAATACTTATGCATGGGAAAAGAGGGTGAAGAAGCGAAGCACCTTGTTAATAAAGAGGAAGTCAAATTTTTTGGACCAGAAATCACATACAGACTTATTTAGTGATTACTGAAACGATGTTGTTAAAGGATACACTGGAACCACAAATCAGATCCATTGCCAAATAGAGATACCACTCACATCAAGCACACATAGGCCAATCATCCCATGAGAGCTAATATTAAGAAAATTCACAGGAGAACAAGAGAAAAGAAAACCAATCGCAATATTAAGATTGGATATTTGCAGTAGGGAAAAAAAATCATCCCACTCTGGTCCCACATAGGCCAATCAGTCCATAAGAGTTGATATGAATACTCATGTTAAAAGTTCACTAATCCAAATATAGTAACCAAGTACGGGAATAAGCTTTGTGAGACAGATACTGGTATAGAAGCTAAAAAACCAATTTGACCAAGTGAAGCTGCGTTCCACATAAGTTTTCAAAATCTGACTGCAATGTGCATATCCATGCCAGGGAGGTGCCAATAGATGGAACACAATACCTCAATAAGAGTATCTCTTTTCTCGGCAGCAGCAACTAATGTTTCAATATTCAAAGCAGAGCCAAACCCTGCATTGATATAGCATAGTTAATGTAAGTTAACATACATCAAGATAATAAATATTTAATGAAAAAGCAATGGCTTGGAGATAAAGTTGAAAATTACTGGTAGAAGTAACTCCTCGCGTAGGACGAACGAAACCAGGGGAAGGAGAAGACAACATTGCCGGAGCACTGAGTGCACTTTGTGACTGCAAGTTTTCAGTAAAAAACGTAGGAAATCAAAATTCCATGATACAATGAGCTGATAGCATCTAGTCCCAACCCCCCTTTTAAAAAATAAAACAATCATGCCTTCTGAATACGAGGAGCATCGCCTACAGGACCAACCGGAGGTTGCACAGCAGAAGATAAAGGTGGCTTTATGTCATTTGATGAATTCGAGGCTTTATGACGGTCATCAAGAGAACTTTCATGTCTCTGTTGAAGCTGGAGTGGAGAAGAATGTTGTTGCCCGTTATGTAAGATGGCAGAACCATTTAACTGCAATAATGTTTCAGCTTATAAGAAAACATAGACAACAATAGAGTAGCTCTACCAATCTGACTACACCACCTACCTCCACATTTCCTGGGGTAGCTTGACTGGGACCATGGTGATGAGCAGCAGAAGCATGGTTACTTCCATCCGAGTCTGAATGGCTTGAAGAAATCCTGGCAAGAGCCTGTTCAATGAAAGCCACAAGCTCTGAATGAGTACTCCGCAGATGGGATATTTGAAGAATATGATTGCAATACTGCGGCCACTCAATCAGACGATCCACAAACTGCTCCAAGGCCTTTGTTCCGAACACAAACATCTGCAAGTAGAGAGACCATCAGCAATATCATAATAGGAAAACCTTATGAGAGAATTCAATGAGAAAAAGTACAAACTTTTGAATCCGCAGGTTTGCGCAATGCATCTAAAACACCACGCAGAGCAATCCCAAGAGTCAGATGAGTTACGAGCTGGTGCTTGATGACAGAGCCTGAAACATGATTATGAAACAACATTGCTTACAAACATTGACAGTTGATGTAAAGTAAACAGTAAACAATAAAAAAATTCAAAAAAAAAGAAAGAGACATCCCTAGTACAAATAATGGCATATTAAAACACATAATTAAATAAAAATAAAAGAAAAGGTTTACAGAAGAAGCATATTCACAACAAATTTATAAAAACCTAAGGGAATCCACAACGAAAAAGAACATCAGATTATAAACAAACTCAAATCTTACGAGTTCCTCCACATATATACAAAAGAATGCATAAAATAACCAAAAGCACATCCAGCTAATTTATTAACAAGTGCATTCTCTGTGTATTTGTTTGTTTGGATGAAAGTGCATTCACTAGACATGAAATATAATGCCCATCAAGACCACAAAATATAAAAATATAACATACAAAAATAAAATAATATAGATTATTCTTACTGCTTCTCATACATCCTCCTTGCTACACGTACCAAAAGAATATACATAAAGAAGATATATGTGGCTCCTCTACCTACCTAAAAAATAATCCTTCATCTCAACCAGAATTATTATACTGAACTCTGTTTTAGATTATTTTTTACAATAGACAAACAATAGTTCTAAGGCAAAGCTAGATATATGTTTTGGACCTGCGTATCGTTAACAGCAAAACTTAGAACGAAACTCACCAAACAGAACTGCAGCAAGTTTGAGCTGTCTTTCAGGATACTTGGGGAAGAATCTATACTCTTCAAACAGATTTGCAATCATACATTCAAAAATTGACTGTTCCCTGTCAATTAACTCAGCACAGGCATGTTAATTAACTCTCAATTCAAAAAGTAGTGTAAAGTAGCCTCAGCAAATTCCAATATGGAGTCTATGCCCCTTCCCTTAACAGACAGGAGAATATCAAGTGCCAAAATAAAACCTACCCCTTCTAAAAGCAATCCTTTTATAACCTTTTACATCATGTCAAAAGTTTGAGTTCACTTACATAATAGTACATCCATATAGCATGTAATAAAATGAAATTATTAGAAAGCAATTTGGCCTCTCAAATGTGAGCAAAAGGTTTGAGTTGGAAGCGGTTGAGAGTCTTGAAACACAGTAAAAAAAGTAGAAACTAAGATACATATTCAGATTCTTTTCAAAGTACATCCTGACTTTGACTGATACCATAATCGTAAATGTTTAAAAAGATGAGAGAACGTGTAAGAAATATTATTAAAGTTACCAGATGAAAAAGCTTTAACAGACATACCTTTTTACAGAAGATTCCTTGAATCGGGCAAGCATTTGGACCATTGAATCAATTGTCAATTGACCAGAAAACATTTGATGGAAGTAAGAGTTTGCTTCAGCTTCAATATCATCTGCATATCCATCAGTTGAAGACTCTGTCGTGCCACCATTCGGGAGCCTTGGAATCGAATCCATAATTGTTACAGACAACCTTTCCATCTCCTCAGTAAGTTGGCTAGAGGCAACCAAGCCAACATGAGCTTTAAGAACCTAAAATAAAATACAGAGAATGAAATTCAGCATGATAGATGATGAAGCTTAACATCCTAGAAAATCGCATGCCAAGTTGTAAAACCTTCGTGAAGATAGTAGCAGTGTCCGCATAAATATTAGACACGGCACCAGAATGTTGGAAAGGTCTGGTGGAAAAATCCTGTGAACCACCAAATTGAATCTCCTTCAAGAACTTTATGCACTCCTGAAAATTTGCATTATGATTATAAGGCGGTTATATTCATGATTCTGATATTCTTGTTTCTAAACTTATAGTAAGGCCACATTACCTCAAAGAAAGTATCCTTATACAAATTCAAATTAGTACTCAACCACTTCTCAAGGTCTACAAGCTCTTTTTTAGAAGCAAGGGCTGCCAATCTGATACTTAAAGAGGAAGGGATCATCTCTAGGACAGATGACAGAATCTACAAAGCAAATAAGACATACCAGAATAAATAGCAATTCCACTAAAATTAGGCAAAACGGACCCCAATAGACACTACATAACTATATTACTTCTCAATAACGCGAACACAAGTGCAACAGACAACTGGTGAGGAGTCCACAAGCAGCTTACCTTTAGCTCTTGACAGATATCCAAAATTCTAGCTATGCTATCTGGATCACAATTGTGAGCATCCACAAATCCCCTCAGCACCAATGAGGTGTTAATATGCCAGAGGTGGTTAATCATGCCAATGCCCATGGCATTTTTTACCATCATGGGGAAAACAGTATAAGACACTTCATATTGCAGCAGGTTATAAGCAGTCTGCAATTTCAAATGTAAATTAATAAGACAAAAGCTCTAGGAGAAACCAGTGGTTTAGAACAACAAAGCACGACAAAAATTCAGAGTGGTACATTTGTATGCGCCATCCCAAGAAGCAGGACTTCAGGACAGTGTTTAAGAGGATACTCAAGCATTGATCGGACAGCAAGAGCATGACCCCTCTCAGCTAGTAGACACAGTACATCCAAAAGGTCAAGACTCAACCATGCATGATTTGCATGTCCAAGTTGAAGCTTATGGCCATGCACTGCATCAATATAGGCCTGAAAGTATGATAGATAATTCATAAAGGTCAAACAAATATAACATAAGGGAACAGAGAAAATGTATATGCTGGATAACTATTGGTTCATACCAGCTGCCTAACAGAGTGGGCAAAGGTAAACACTTCAGGTGGTGCTGACACAGCATGTTTAAGGAAGGATAGCTGACCCTCGGTGTTCTTCCAAACAGACCCGCAGATAACATGGAGGGGGAACAGCTCCTGCACAGCTCAAGTCCGGTGACCACAGATTAATAGACAGAAACATCACAATTTGCAAATGACCGACCTTAAAAAATTCAAGAACGCACCCATACCTGACAGACATGCTGATATACAGACATGAAAAAAGAGAATGCCTCCTGATTAGGAATGAAGAATCCCTCATGATCCAAATTTTCAATAACTTGTATCCAGTTAGTACCGGGAGCCTGTAATAAGCATACTAGACTATATTAGAATAGAAAAGGGTTGCAGCTTCCTTCACTAGGTAACTAGGTCACAAGACTCAAACCCAAAAATGAAAAGGAAAAGAAAAAACACACTAACTGTAAGAATAGAAGAAGTAAACTTACAAGTTGCTTGATTGTATCTACAAGGACATCAATATTCCAGGTGTTCAACATAGGCAGATCAGATAAAGTGCTGTTACCAACCGCCAACCGGAATGTTGAAAATGCATTCTGATTGTCCTCGAGACCAACATGAGTAGAGGCAATCATGCCAAGTATTTTTGAAATAGTAATCTCAGTGAGTGGTAAGAAAAGAGATAAAATCTCTTTGCACTGAGATGAATCAACTGTGCATCCATAACCTAATTCCTTCATTACATCTCCCATGCTGATTTCCTTCGCCATTTCAGCTAAAATAGCATCAAAATCATTTTCTCTGCTTTCATGCAACAAACCCACATTGCTGCAGAGAGTATAAATGCTACTGAGGACAGGATGCATCTGGCATGACAAATGGATAGAGAAAAAAAAAAGTAACAGAAAGACAATCAGAAAAATCACTGCACCTCAAAAAATTGGCATCACGGAGCTCATCTGAAAGCAATGGAGTTAAAACAGAAAAACTGTCATCTTTCAGCTGCAGTAAAGATAACATCTGCATAAAGGAATCCACATGCTTGGAAAGGCCCTCAGACCGCTGGAGGAATATAACAATGTTCTGAATTTGCTCAGACGAATTCATAGCAATAGGACTTTCACACAATTTCTGGATCTGATCCATACAGAAGTTCTTGCCTGAAATCAAAAAGTAATCAACTCTGTGTTGAAATAGGCAGCAAATGAAAAGATACTGGCAGTGGAACAGAAATTTGTACAGAAAAAATATATTATAAATCATACAGTACATCATTCATCCAAGACTTACCACATATCCTGGTGTCTAGGTTTTCAGAATCTGACAGCGCAAGAGCAATGCCAATTTTCTCCGATACAGATAGGTGTAATGCATTAGAGAAATTCTCAAGAATTCCTTCATTAATCTCTGTATTTCTTAGGCACTCACAAAACACCGTACTGAAATTAGGTCTGTCAAGGAGATTTTTGAAAATTGAGGCAAGAACTCGTTCCAATGCTGCATTCTTTAAGTCTGTTCTGTAATTAGTGAGATGATCCAGACAGGTCTGCAGCAGCAAAATGCTTCCCTCAAGTCCATATTCAGTAAACTGCCACGAAATCACAGACTATATCAGCAGGAGATCCAGTGAGGCCTCATGATTGATAAACTGTAAAAAACTGTCATTCCAGCCTACTTGTTTATCAGCAACATTAGAAATATTGAAACCTAGAAATAGATCTAGTGAATAACTCAGGATTTCAGCATTTACTCAAATTTTTAACCTTCGCACCCAGCTTAAAAATAAGATTAAATTGTAGCAATGGTCCCTTAACTTTAACTCAATTGGAGCAATGGTCCCTCAACTAAAAATCCATTACCATTGGTCCCTCAACTCATCAAAACGTGCAGCTATCGTCCCTTAACTAAAAATCCATTACCATTGGTCCCCCAACTTTAATTTAAGTGGAGAAATGGTTCCTCAACTTTAACCCAATTGGAGCAATGGTCCCTCAACTTTAACCCAATTGTAACAATGGTCCTTCCAACATAACTCATTTTGACAAAATTCTAAAGAAGTATACGAAAATGACCATAGCTACACATTTTGACGAGTTGAGGGACTCCAATTGTAGCAATGGTCCTTCCATCATAACTCATTTTGACAAAAAAGACCATAGCTACACATTCTAATGAGTTGAGGAGCCAATGGTAATGAATTTTCAGTTGAGGGACCATTGCTCCAATTTGATTAAAGTGAAGGGACTACTGTTACAATTTAATCTAAAAATACACTAACTTTATAGTGGCCAAGTGTACGAGCTACAGATCCTGCAGGCTACTTTAAAAATAAAGCAAAGAGATCTCAAGCGTAACTAGTAATTACTAATCTAGTGTGTGCTTTCAACCATTCGCTTAACCACAAAAATAAATATCTTCTACCAAAAAAAAAAACAATGTTCAAGTTTCATATATTAAAGCTGTTAGCTGAAGACACTGCCTTAAAATTGTTGTCCACAACCCAATACATGGTCGAGAAATGAATGAGTACATTAATTTGTCATGTAAATCCAATCCGCAATTATTTTACAAATAGAAAACAAAAAAAGATATCAACTTTCGCACATTCCCCTTTTCGTAACCTTCCCCACTTCTCATTCAATTCGTCATGGTACCGAATCCCCACTCAATAAACAAGTCTACACAAAACTTACAGCTGGAGTTGAAATGAGTAGTATAAATTTTCTAGCACAAACCGAGGGGACAGCTAAGTGGCACTGAGAAACGCCAGCTCCCCATCAATTTGTAAACCAATTTTTGCGCAAATTTACAAGACGGAGAAAAAACAACACATGAGTTGCTTCAGTTTCCACACTGCATTCAACCATAATACAGAGACCCAACCTACGGACCTTCAATAATATCAAACACTTCACTAAGTGATCCAAAATTAAACAAAAAGAGACAAATTTCAATCATGTTTTCCTCCTTTTCTACTCCTAGAAATGCAATTAAAGTTCGTCTTAATTCACCAAAAATCCCCAAAAAATTACAGAAAAATCGGCTTCGAATTTAGCACGCAAACAAGGCGAATCAAACCCAAATGGGAAAACAGAGGGGGAGTACCTGAGAGAGCTCTCGGAGAACGGAGTCGGAGGTGGCATCGTTGAGGCTCTGGAGTAGGAAGCGAATCTGGCTGGCGGTGGTCGGCGTAAAATTGAGCATCGCGACGACGGAAGCTAGGGTTTGCTCAGAGAGAGAGGATTACGAAGAAGAAGGGCAGTTTGGTGAATTCGGAGAAATGGTCGACAGGAGTGAGAAGCGAGAGAGTCGAGAGAGAGGGTGAGACTTGTTGGTTTGGTGGCGTCTGATCTGAAACCTGAGTGCGGATTAATATAGTGGTACGATCACCTGCGGGTTATTTTTCATTCGACTGGTGCTACCTTCTGGTGGGCCCACGTGGGTTGGGAAATAAAATATAAAGTAAGTGAACAGAAACATACAATCCAGAGATTAGGAGGTAAAATAAGTGTCTTCCATTATTATTAGACTCCTTTGTATAGAATACGTGTAACTTGGAGGAGAAGCTCGTGAACATAAATATTCACAACACTCTTTTTTGGATGATTGTGCACTAATGAAGTTATGTCCATCGTTAACGATAGTTACCTCGATAAAACTTTGTTTGGAAAATTCAATGGGACAAAACCAAAGCAAAGGAGAAAAATCTAGCACAATTTAAGAAACATTGATAAGGTCTTGGACGACATAGTGCTACCTCACTAAAAAATTGCCAAGAACAACATAATGGGATAAAAACTGGGGTCGAAGGATTATATATCCATTATAGCATATTGTTGAAGACTCTCCTTGATCAATAACTCCTTGATAAGTGACTCCCCTAATGATGGTAAGCCTTCATTTGACTAATCACCATTGTCAAGTTTGAAGTAATGAGACTTCAATTTTCAAGAAAATTGAACTTCAGTATAACTTGATCCTGGGAAGTGCAGGAGTTGACAATAGTTTTTTATATTCTTTAGGTTTTAGGATCTTCATTCAAAATCTTTGATAAAGAATTTCATGTTATTTTCATTCTCTAAGAAATTGCTTCCAAAGATAAAATCTCAAAATGGTTAGTATGCAATTTCCACATGCCATAAGTCTCACGTCTAAAGTAAAACTGTACTTATAGAAATGTGGCTGTATCTACAATGAAAATATATTACAAAGTCTTATGCCATCTTTTGTGATTTTATTTCACTTCCTCATACACTCAAAAATAACCATGGGGGTTTAAACTATGAGTTCACTAATTTCACATTTTCAGTGACTCAAAAATAGAATTGCCTCTTTATGATTTGGCCAACCCTTTACTTTGTCAACATTAATAGTAAAATGTGATTAAATCGCTCTTGATGCTATGAGTAGCTACTATAATAAAAATTATCGATTAACATCAATTTTTTATCCATTCGTTTGCGCATGCACGCTTAATTTATAAATATTTCATTGCTTGGTACAATGCATCTTCGAGGCTTCCATTGGCACATCTAGAATAAGCTTCTTAAGATGAATTATTTAGAAAATTGGATCATAACCTCCTATGGAGCGTCATTTAGATCAGGCTTGAAATCTTTAATCTCCACATTTGGGGATATCAAAGTTTAGAACCTAATATCTTTCATGCCTCAAGCATGTAACAGATTAATAGATCTGATTCATAAGACAAGAACATATATACCAACACTAATTTACGACATTCTTGAAGCTATCATTTCTCCCCTTAACGTCGCGAGTATTATCTCATCAAAGTGACAATACACAAAACTGCAGTAACTATGAGCACAACTTAAAACAAATTGACTTGAATCCCAATTTTAACGAACGAAAATTATCTTTGTCTGTATAATTCCTTATTGTTGGAAAATATATCTCAACTGAGCTGATCATAATGATGCACGTAATCAAGATGCATCTCCCAAGCAAAAATTAGCAAATAATAAAATGCACTACAAGAAAAAGGATCATTTGCGGCATATTTTTTGCAATGAAACTAGTGGGCGTCGCAAATATTTGTAATTTTCGCACAAGGTGTTGGCGCTAAAGTATATGTGACATAAATATAAATAACATCGCAACAAGCATCACAAATGTAGTATAATATGAGTTTTATGCGACACCTTGAAATTACAAGCGCCCTCCCTTTCTTTTCATTTCCCTCTCCCTCTTGGTTTCCTTCTCTCCCTCTGTAAACATTTCTCATTTCAGTTACCATCGCACATCTCCATTAAAATCCAAACCCCAATTCCTACCTTTTTCCCCAAATTTTCCAAGAAAAGAAAAATAAAACGAAACCCACTTTTTCTCGGAAAAATTTTCCAATTGCAGACGACCGCTATTGTAGCAAAAAATTCTCACAACTCTCACAATTGTACACTTCAATTCAGCCCTAAATCTAGTTGTAATCCACAATCAGTCAAGCTTTCAAAATGAGGTAATTCAACCCAATTTCGGTCAAGGTAAGCAATTGATTTTTTTCTATTGGGTATTTTTGTGATGCTTTGAGTTATTTTTAATACTCAGTTTTGTTAGATAGGTTTTCTAATTGGGTAAATTAGTTTCTATGACTACTTGTTAATTTATTAGCTCTGAATGAAATGAATTTTCATATGACATTTCTAATTTAGATGAGGAGTCATTTCTAATCACATATGAACCCTGTTTGAATATCAACAATCGTTAGCACCATTTGTAATCCCATATGAGTTATAGTTCAAATTCATTTGTAATCCATTTGTAATCCCATATGTATTGCAGGATCTTATATTGAGTTTCTATCTTTATGATTGACACCAAGTTTGAATCAAGCCGAGCAAATATTCGGTATGTTTCGGTTTTATTGTTTTATAAACAAATAAGTACTTTGATTATTAGAGAACAAAAATGAAATTTATATGCTATGTATAGGAGTGTTCTTTTTCTTTTTCTGTTTTTTTAAACTAGAAACTACATTCCTACATGCACATACACTTAATGTTTATTCGAATTACTTTAGAGCATTAAAAGTGCATGCTTTTTTCTTTCTTCATCTTTTTATAGCAACTAGGTATGGATAAAAGTTGGATTAGTTTAATAGATAGAAGATCTAATGAGTATCGGGTTGGCCTTGAAAAGTTTTTGGACTTTGTATTTGATAACAATATGGGTGACACAAGGATTTATTGTCCTTGCAAGAAATGTTACAATCGCTACTTTGTTGCAAAGGATGAGGCAATAGCACATATAATAATTGATTAATTGATGAGTTTATGTCAAATTACAAAAATTGGACTCACCATGGCAAAGCGTACCATTCAGTAAATTTCAACCAAGGCACTGCGATAGTTATGGGTGATGATATATTTCAAATGGTACATGAGACATTTGGGCATCAAAATTTTGATTCAAATTCAGGGAACGATCAACCGACAACAAATGATCAAGCCGCAGAAAATGATTAGAAAATAAATATGGTCATGGTAAAGGGCCAAATGCTGAAACTACAAATATTTTAAAATATTACAAGATATAGAATGTCCTTTGTATGCGAGGTGTAAAATGTTCACTAAGTTGTTCGGTTATAACATACAAAAATGTTTGTGGATGGATAGACATGTCAATGACAATCTTGCTAACATTACTAAAAGAAGCATTTTCCAATGAAGCAAATATACCAACTACATATTATGATGCTAAAAAAAAAACTCAAGACTTGGGTTTCACGTACAAGACATGAGATTCATGTCCCAATAATTGTATGTTATTTCGAAATGAGTATGAGAATCTTGGAGAATGTGTCATTTATCCCCAATACAGGTATAAAATGATTGAGGATAAGCCTAATGATGATTTGAATGAAGATTGGTCTAATAATGTTATGAATGAAGTGCAATCTGATAAAGTTCAGAATGTGATTAGAATAATACCAGCCACACAAATCAGATAGTTTCCATTGAAGTTAAGATTGCAAAGACTTTTTATGTCATAAAAAAATTGCTTCTCTTATGAAATGGCATGCAGAGAAGTGTAAAGATGATGATGTGTTAAGGTATCATTTAGACACAAGCATGAAGAACTTTTGATGCAAAGAGTCCAAATTTTGCCAATGAAGTTTGTAATATAAGCCTTGGTTTGGCATTGGATGATTTCAACACATTGAGAACAATGATCATACCTCACACTACGTGGCGTGTTGTCTTAATACCATATAATTCAGTAAATTCCAACCAAGGTACTGTGATAGTTGTGGGTGATGATATATTTCAAATGGTACATGAGACATTTGGGCATCAAAATTTTGATTCAAATTCAGGGAACAATCAACCGACAACAAATGATCAAGCCACAGAAAATGATTAGCAAACAAATATGGTCATGGTAAAGGGCCAAATGATGAAACTACAAATATTTTAAAATGTTACAAGATATAGAATGTCTTGTGTATCCGAGGTGTAAAATGTTCACTAAGTTGTTTGGTTATAACATACAAAAATGTTTATGGATGGATAGATAGGTCAATGACAATCTTGCTAACGTTACTGAAAGAAGCATTTTCCAGTGAAGCAAATATACCAACTACATATTATGATGCTCAAAAGAAAACTCAAGACTTGGGTTTCACGTACAAGACATGAGATTCATGTCCCAATAATTGTATGTTATTTCAAAATGAGTATGAGAATCTTGGAGAATGTGTCATTTATCACCACTATAGGTATAAAATGATTAAGGATAAGCCTAATGATGATTTGAATGAAGATTGGTCTAATAATGTTATGAATGAAGTTCAATCTGATAAAGTTCAGAATGTGATTAGAATAATACCAACCAAACAAATCAGATAGTTTCCATTGAAGCTAAGATTGCAAAGACTTTTTATGTCATAAAAAACTGCTTCACTTATGAAATGGCATGCAGAAAAGTGTAAAGATGATGATGTGTTAAGGCATCATGTAGGCACAAGCATGAAAAACTTTTGATGCAAAGAGTCCAGATTTTGCCAATAAAGTTTGTAATATAAGTCTTGGTTTGGCATTGGATGATTTCAACACATTGAGAACAATGACCATACCTCACACTACGTGGCGTGTTGTCTTAATGCCATATAATTCAGTAAATTCCAACTAAGGTACTGCGATAGTTGTGGGTGATGATATATTTCAAATGGTACATGAGACATTTGGGCATCAAAATTTTGATTCAAATTCAGGGAACAATCAACCGACAACAAATGATCAAGCCACAGAAAATGATCAGCAAACGAATATGGTCATGGTAAAGGGCCTAATGATGAAACTACAAATATTTTAAAATGTTACAAGATATAGAATGTCCT